AATTAAATATTGGCACAGATTGTCTTTGCTACCTGAAAATCATATTCTAAAAAGTGCACTTAAAGAAACAGTGTCTTCAAACTCAAGCTGGATAAAACATGTTAAAACAATTCTTGGACATGCTGACTTATCTGAAGTAAATAAAATATATAATGTGGGAAACATCGCTGAATTAACAAAATTGTTGGAAGAAAAATTAAAAAATAAATATATGCAAACATGGTATCAGCAACTTAGTCATGTCCCAAAAAACAGAAATTCAGGAAACAAACTAAGAACGTATAATTTGTTTCAAATGGAATATGAATTTGAAGGATATTTAACAGAAATTCAGGACTTCAATTTGAGAAGAATGGATACCAAGTTTAGACTTAGTGACCATAATTTGGAAATAGAATTGGACAGGAGAAAATTTCCAAGAATTGAGGCAATAAATTGCAGATTGTGTAAAAAATGCAACACTGTTGACTGTTGCTTCTTCACTCAAGAAAGAAATACCCACTCAGAAGACTGTGAATTGGAAATGTGTAGTACAGCTAAACCGAAATTTAATATTCACATGCATTATAAAAAGTAGCACAGCCACTGCACTTGCAAAATACTTAAAAAACACAATTTATAAAACCTAATTGTAATACGTATTTTATCAAAGACAATAATGTCTTTGATTTTATATATACCCTTTGTTTTGTTTGTAATTTTGAAACTTTTGTTGTTTTTTGTATATTTGTGTTTTCTGATCTGTATCCTTACCATACAGCACCCACCGATGGTGCAGTTGTGTAATAAAGTTATTACAGGGGGACGTCGCAATAATCATTTCATAATTTTTAGGCCAAATTTTGTCGAAATTAAAGTAGCTTTCTGCATCTCAATAGACATTGTTTTATTTTTCTATGTGGATCTCAGCAGTCATATAGATCGTCAGGTCCCTGTGCCCAGACTGACTGTATGACCTCCATGCATTAACCAACCAAGACCCTTTACGAAGACAGCTAGCACCTGGTGGGTGGTCACAAATATAACTCAACACAATCAAGCATATAACTATAACGGTGTTATACTCATATTGTACTTACGAAATTGTGGATTATTGGGAGACCTGTATGCATTGTATCTGGCATCAACAGCCAGAACTTGCTGCCAAACGGCAGCCATCGTTTTTCTTGTGTTGTGTAAACAGTGAACGCGTGAGGGCGCATTTCATGATTGTTCATTCGTAGTACTTATTTTCGATATAAGAATAAAATATATTCAAGCAGTCAATTGTTAAATTGGTATCTTTTATATTTATGCCACATATATTATATATAATTTCAGAAATAGCAGATTAAAATATCAGGCATTTTAAGTTGTAACGACTACCACTTCCGATTATTTAAAGATAGTATGTGTACTTGTAATTATAGGATTACTTCAGTCTCAAAGCGAAGAAGCTGAGGAGAGAGAAAATCTAACTAACTCTGAAATTGCGGAAATAGTGATTTTTTTTTCGATTGCTTTGAAGGATACTATTTACTGACTTGACCAGATGACGATGGGAACACTCAATGTCACCATACCCACTGGGGGTGAAAGTAATACAGGTAAACATTTTTTTTTTGAAAAAGGCTACACACATGTTAAAATTACAAAAAATTGACCTCCTTTTTAGGAGGAAGTCTTGTGTTTTTTTCTCCGTACTAGACTGTTGTACGTTCTATGTAATTTTGACTTCCTGTGTAGGAATGGCTACAGGAAAGCGTACCTTTCTGAACCTCGTCTTTGTTGCCCTCAGTATGGTTTTGATTTGTCTGCTAAAGTTTGACCCCCAGCATTATTACCATTTTCGCTGTCAATTAGTGAAATAATTAATTTGCATAATAATAGGGCGACTGAATGTGAAAAGTTTTTTTTATAATTAGACATCTGCGCATTTATGACAGACCGACTACACATTTCGTGCACTGTCACTGAATTGTATGGTTTTATAGTCAGGCATTGTTGTTTATGGATGCTTTGGACTCCATGGGTAATCAAATATGTTGCAGTCAAGGAGAAAGTGAGTTTTGTTGAGTAATTTGATCTTATATAAACAGTTATTTGATGAAAACCAGATACATCTATAATCTGATATGGTGTTAAGATTACATGCTGGCATGCTCACTGAATTGGGTTTTGTTTATTTTATACTTATTTGCAGAATTATGCCAACCCCACCTTAGTATTCAATTTACCCTAAATTTTTACCAATACATTTTTTTATATGCATGTATGTTGAATTGTAGGTAACTAGTTAAATTCATGTGATGAATTTACCTTGTATACTTGAAGGCCAATGTTTTGTTACCCAAATGCATAATAATAACATTTTGTCTATGTTGCTGTGTGCTCTGGATCTGTCTTTTGGGAAGAGTTCCTTTTGTACCCCCACCCCCTAATCCCAAGCTCCCTCCAATTCAATATGCCCCACCCCACTAGATAATTATATGTGTCCTTAGGAGGGGCATATACAATTAAATTGGGAAAGTGCTGTAGAGTATGTGTATGGGTAGTGGTACAAAAGGAACTCTTTCCCATTTTGTATTAATGTATTTTTTTCATAAATGAAATAATAACATTTTTCAGTGCAAAATTTGCTTACAGCAGACGATCTAAAATGCATGCTGTTTTTTTATTATTATTTGCAATTTGATTGAAAATGACAGATTTGTTCATGAATGCTATTTGACCTTTTAAATCAGAATCATCAAAACATGGATTTTTAGCCATAACAGAATATGATTCTTGAGTCCTGGGGAGATTAAAGCATGAATAGTCCATATGCATAATGGTATACCTATCTGTTTGTAATTCCATAGCCATGACATACTGAATTTATTGGATACGTAATCTATCAAAGCAAACTGTAACAAAATCAGCAGCTCCAATTGTAGACAAAATAAATTTGGTTCGCTGTCTACGACATGCATTAATAAAACTCTGTATTCTGTTACGCCCGTTGTATACTGTTTCTGTGCATCCAAATAAGTTGGGTCCGTCTTCTCTCGCGTTCCTGTGCACGTCATTTCAAAATTAGAACGAAACATGCCGGCAGCAGAAATAGAACCTCGCGCGTGTCATCCATTTTTTGTTCGTAAATAGCGGCTTGCCAAAGGTCACCAACTGGTCGCGCCCCTTAGCCCGTACTAACGACTGGCTCTCCCTGTGCGTGGACGCAATTGGGTCTAGCCGAAATGCAAATATGCTAGATAAGCCTAAATCAGCTTAAATCTTAGCCCGTACTTCGTGTAACGTGAACACAACTATTATTGAAGATGCATTAAAGTAAATAAGATACTTCATTTCTGATTTCCCCAGTGTAAATATAGTGCATATTTTGAACTTATGGCTATATTTAATTAGAATTGTTAATTTACAATTAATTATTTGTTTTCTTGAAAACTATTCAGCTTGTACCGGTACTAGATACATGTATACAATAACATTTTAGATATGTTTACCAGGGTTTGCGCTTGTGTCTCGGCAAGACGAGTCCCACTTACAAAATTTTAAGAAATTCAAATTTGACCCTTTATAACTTTATTAGAGATTGGACCCGAGCTTGCCTGAAAAACTGGGTCCCTCTTCAATAATTGGAGTCCGGGAAGCAAAATATGGGGTTAACGCAATCCCTGTCAGTTTACATGTATTTGTTAAATTGAATCCCTATAACAACTGGTTCAAGATTGTCTGTGTATTGTGAGGATTATAACTGACACAGAGGATCACTTTTATTTACATACATGTTTGTATCTGGTGTAGCCAAGTCAAAAAATGAAATGTACTCTTCTCAGATTTAACTCCTGAAGAAGAGGCTTTGCTGGCTGACATACGAATCAGGAAAGAAAAGTTATTGTCAGAAATTCAGGTTAGTGTTTCACTCAGCTAGTCTCACTGGTTTTGCATCTTCAGAATTTAGATTTTTCTGCCAATAATATTCAAATGATAATTTGATTGCAATCTCAGACATCAGAATAGTTTTGACTGTGAAAAATAACATCCCAAACATGTAGAGATTTTTTACTCGTATTACCGGTAACCCTTTGAATGCTAGAGTCAACTTATGTCACTTTCCACAAAATAAACCTGCATACCAGTAGTTGTAATTTTTTCGTAGTCTTCAACATGTCATGCTGCCATTGGGCAATGTTTTTTTTCTCTGGAATAAACAAATAGAAAAATACATATACCATAATGATGGCATTCAAATTGACCCTTTGAGTATCACAGTTGACTTTTATCTCCAAAATTTTTACTGAGACTTGTGGCCAATAGAAAATTTTGTTCATTTGATTGAAATTAAAAAAAAAAAGAAATATAGAAAAAAAAACAAGCAAAATGTTGTACCAATCTGGTGCTCAAGGGATTAAAAAAGACTGTTAAATTTACATACACATTGTACATGTATGTGTACATAGATGACCTGACTTGTTAACCTATGTTTATTAATCAGTTATTGTATGTCTTGTTTTACTGTCAGCAATTAAAATGTGAGATAGCAGATGTTGATTGGGAATTGGTGAAGATGGATGAAATAGATGATAGGTAAGTAGTGTAACAAATTACATTGTGTTGTGGCTGTGTGGCATTGCGTTAATGAAAATCAACTTTTACATTATCATTTTATCATATATATTGTGTAAATGCCCAGCTTTGAGTGTTAGTAATACTTTTTGTTGCAAGGTCTGTTTGTAGTAGTACTAGTAATATCACCATAAATGGACCAATCAGTTGGTAAGTTGAAAAAAAAAAAAGTCCTGATGGAATTTAGGGTGAATTTAAAGGAATGTTGATATAATGCATGGTAAATGGTTAAGGTGAAATAACCCAGAGTTGATTTTAACCTACTTTTGAATAATTATTCTTCTTCTATTGGCCTGGGCTATTCTCTGTATCGAGATGTATGAATAAATGTTTAAACAACATTTTCTAACAGTGACACAATGGTAAGTGAATAGGGCATAAAGAGGTGTAACCACTGCGATGTAATGTATGCAGATTTTAGGTTTAGCTTAGGAGGAGTATTTACAAAGCAATCTAGCCCTGTTTGTTAGCACATGTGAACAAGGTGATTGTTAGTTTGTTTGTTGTCAACAACCTCAGCTGCCACATAAGAGAGACATACATACATTGTATAGGAAATACAAAAATAATAGATAATTTTTCGTACTTCCACAAGGTCTTGCATAATGTGTGATAGGCACATTCCAAGCGTTGCTACAAAAACTCAACATCATTTGATTTTGAGTTTAAATTTTTTTGTTTTCAATGTCAAAATACCAATCTTCTAGATGGAACATGGCATTCAGATACCCTTACTTCATCAAAATTGACTATCAAATGTGTATCACATATTCTCCAATGTGAAAATAGTACCCGAAAACTTCTGCTTTTTAAGTTCCTGTGCAATGTTTTGATCATTCATTTACCAAACAACAAGACAGTAACTTTAAAAACTTGCCTGCCCTGCTAAAAGTCTATCGGTCCTGCTTATGTTTTCAATATTTGATTTACGTACTTTCAATTGTTTCTTGCATATTGTGAGAGTTCACTGAAATCGCGTATAGTGTGAAATTTCAAATCATGCATCATTCATGTATTGTTGTTGTTTATACTTGTTTTACATGTTGCATGTGTCAAATGATCGCATCAGACCTCTAGGTACATTAATTTGACAACAATCATAGACATGTTGCGTAAAAAGTACTATTTTATTTATTTTCTCAAAAAATCTTCCCGACCACAGGGCTAGTGACTTGAAATTTTCTCTAGCCCGGCTGAATAGTTACCCGTGCCAGGCGTACAAGTGAGCAGTAATTGAAACACTGGAACACTTGGCTGTTGTCTTGGTTTACATTCAATTTTACACATTATGTAGGATCTTGAGAAGTTTGGAATATGATAAATTCACCAACATAATTGGTATTCACAACCCATGTCAGTCATTGCAGTGTAGAAATACTCTTGAGGAGTCTATAATTTACATAGTCTATTTTAAACACATGGATATGATGTGTGTGAGCCAATCTCTGGAATTTAAATTATCAGGTTTAATTTGATGTTGTTGCTGCCTACTTATGTTTTGTTAGTTTTCAAATTTAAATAATATAAATTTAAATACAAAAATCCCCAAAAAATGTTTTCCATTTACAGTATTTTCACAGCACTAATTAAAATTGTTAGAGAAGAGAATATAAGATGTGCAAATCTATTTACTTGATACAAGTGTTCTTTCCACTTTATTATCCAAGCATGGTGGCTGTTTTGCATCTTAATAGTATTTCATTTGCATATTTACTTTGTTATAGAAATAATTAACATCAATAACCTCTTAAAAAGTTCTAGGTACAACATTACTTGATATGTGCATGCAATGTTCAATATAGTTGTGACAATTCTTTTTTTTTTCTACAGCAAAACTGATAGTAGAACTAAAAAGATAATCGCTGCCACTCGAAAATTCGGCATGGACCCGAAAAAGGTATGTGTCAAAATCACATCGTAGACAATAGTCGTTAATTTGTATACAACACATTTGTTGCCACAAAGGGTATTTTGGCTCAATATTACATTTAAGTTTTCTGAAGGGATAGGCGGTATGCATCTATTGTCATGGTGTCACATTTTGATTTTTGTCTACAGGGCATAGAGTATATGATAGACAATGGATTATTGAAAAACACACCTGAAGAAGTTGCGCAGTTTCTGTACAAAGGTGAAGGACTCAATAAAACTGCCATCGGTAACTATCTTGGAGAGTTGTAAGTACACACATTAATATTTATAATTGATTGTTTATATAATTTTATATGCACAGCACTAATGACCCTACTATTTTACAGTAATGATTTCAACATAAAAGTACTACAATCCTTTGTATATCTTCATGAGTTTGCTGATATGATATTGGTGCAGGCACTCAGGTATGTGAAATTTTCTGTTCAACAAAATTGTCATCTAGGTACAGAAAAATTTCTGTTAGTAATATTGACATGCAGGGTATGTGTAGGCCACACATACTTATGTTAATTCATGATTCAATGCAAATGTTACTATCGAGTTGTTCAACAGACAAGTATGTGTGTCACAGTACTGTGCAATAACGATTGTGTCAAAGGGACAAGCAGCTTATTAATGTACAGCATATTTACAAAAAACTAGTATCATTAAAACATCAGGTCACAGTGACAATTGCAAATTGTTATCCTCATGAATACCAACAAGTTATCACAAAAACAGTTTAGAGTACATATACATATTCTGTATAAACTTGCACAATTCTCTACTTGTTTCCTTTCCACTGTCAACAGTTTGTATGTTATCTTTGTAGACAATTTTTATGGAGTTTCCGATTACCAGGGGAAGCACAGAAAATAGACCGAATGATGGAAGCGTTTGCCAAGAGATATTGTGAGAGTAATCCAGGGGTGTTCACTAATGAAGGTAATAACTTGTATGCTATGGTCACTACAACTGGTCTTAAAACCATTTTAAACCATGTTTTATTGGCCATCTAAATCCTTGTCTATAGACATGGTGTATGACCTGTAGTTGAAATTTTCTATGGTGATGTGGTAAGAGTTTCTTAGGGTCTCAACCATAACTTTAATACTAACCTTGCCCCTCCTGTACCCTTCCCCAATTTAATTATACATACATGTCCCTCTCCAAGACATGTATATTTATTTCCAGAGGTGTATATACAGTTACATTGAGGGTTAGGGTTTATGTGGGGGGTAAGGAAAATCTTTCCAGTGATTCATCTATATGATTTAGGGATCTGTAGCCACATCACATCACGCTTGAAGAACCCTTTGAAAGCCAAATTGAATCCATTAATTTTGTCTTTACAAAAAAAAAAAAATTGATTATAAAGACCAGTAGCAAATGGGCAATTATGTCGCTTTGGTCTAAAATTAACAATATAATACAGTATTTAAAAATACTTTATTTTAGCTGGAATTAATTTCAGCTTAAAAAACTTTTTGGGTGTTTTTTATGGAATTTATTTTCACTGATTTTTGACGAGTTGAATGTAAAATATAGGAAAAAAGGTATATTCGCTGGATTTAATTTTCCTTGAATCATTCCTTTAGTGAAAATAGCGAAAATTAATTCCAAGTGAAAATAAAGTATTTTACAGTAATAGAAAAATAATCAAAATGTACAAAAACTAGCACAAAAATGTTTGTTGCAAAAATCCTGTTCAAGTAATTGAATGTCTTGGGGCCTAGGGTCGCAAGATGGTCAAGTTAGATTATGATGACCATTATTACCAGTAGTCCCTGTTTGGACGCAGTGCTAAAAATCATCAAAATCAAGCATTTCAAACTTGGTATATACATTAGGCATTATAGGACCTTGATGCACGTCATTTTATTTTTCAGATTGGATTCAAAATGGCTGACTGGCAGCCATTTTGTTTTAATGATTGGGCTTCTAGAGCCATATGTCTTAAATGCTTTGACTGATTATATTCAAATTTTATATATTCTTTATACATCATGTTATATATATACATGTATTCAAAATGGCTGATTTTGAATGCTGTTCCAGGGACAAGTACTTGTTTGACGATCAGATACAAATGTCAATCATTTTAATGTTAAAAAAATCATATTCCTGACATGGTTATATTCCAGCTATATTATTATAAACAAAACTATATATCTTAAATTTGATAACTATCGGGGACTGTGCCATGCATGGCCTGTTGGTCAATGTGTTCAGAGTTTGAAAGGATTTAGAGTCGAGTCGTATGTCTAGAATCTGCAAGTTTCTATGCATGCAAGAATACAAACACTGTCTGTTTTGTTTGTTTTGATTCGCCATGTGGAACTGTAATGTTTTTTGTTTTTATTTTTAGATACATGCTATGTGTTATCATTTGCTATAATAATGTTAAACACTAGTCTACATAACCCTAGTGTGAGAGATAAACCATCTGTGGAGAGGTTTATATCAATGAATAGAGGTATTAATGACGGTGGTGATCTACCGAGAGAATTACTTGAGGTAAGTCAACTGACAACTAGGTTCATCGTGTAGTGATCATCAGAATGCTACAATGTATGCATGGAGACAATACAGTGAAGATATATACTCGTATTACTCAGGTGAATGCAATCCTGTTATGCTAGTTGTATAATATTGCTTGTTATTTATTGGCTTTGCAGAGCTTGTATGATAGTATAAAGAAGGAGCCGTTCAAAATACCTGATGACGATGGGAATGATTTGACACATACATTCTTTAATCCAGATAAAGAAGGATGGCTCCTAAAACAAGGTAATTGTATGCGATCTTCATACACATCATACAGTGGCTTTAATGATGTACTCTATTTCCTGTATTAGAAGCGCACACAAAAAAATTTGATTGTATACTGGATCAATTAACAATTTCTGTCAAATACTCAAGAGCATATGCTATTAATAGAGAAATTACGATACATCATTCTGTGCCGTCATACATGTACATGTAGATCTCAAAAATTTTTCCGGCACCACACACTTCATACACGTATCTTAATGCATTTGATATTAATGCAGGTATGCCAACTTCATGAATCTCTCATTCCATCAACTTTCATCCCTATTGTCTGCTTTCTTTACTGGTTAAAAAATTGTGCTATTGCTGACCAAATATTTGAAATTCCTGATAAAAAAAATCATATCATATTCTGTTTGATTCAAAATTAAACCTGAAATCAGAGAAAAGTTTTGTATAACAAGGTTTTATCGGTAATGCCAAAAATTTGTCACTTTATCATAGATATGTTATCTTGACTAGAAAAATATTTCTGACCAGTATTTTGAAGGATTTGCATTCTCAATTGAAAAATGATGTTGATCATACATGTACATATGTATGTATAGGATTACATCACTGTTTTCAACAAGCTCTGTGTTTATGCATCGTCCCTGGGTTTTATTTTCAGCATTCATCATTTGCATACATGTATGTGATTTCATGTTTTTAATTAATTCAATGTTGTATTCTGTGTAAGAGGTCAGCCATGGACTTGAATCAAATTATTCTGGTTATACATTGTAGTAAATATCAAAACAGTGTCTGCATTGTATGTATAATAATAGAATCATGTACAAGTAGGCTAATCTACATTGTAGTTGAATAACAATTATAATATTTGTCAGCTTTGTCAGCGCCATTGTCAGCTTTTGAACCCATCTGCAAACTGATTTTGTATAGTCTGCTCATTTCCACATGAAATATTGATATAAATTTACAACAAACCTATTGATCCAAAACTAAAAAGCAATATCTTCATAATCCAAAATGGTAAGGAAATTTTTACAAAATGTGAAATTATTTGCACTAAATTTTGGGTTAAACTTGTTCTATTTAAAGGTTTTAACACTATGAAGTACGAAAAGAATATAAAGTTGTATTTTCCTCTTAACCAAAAAAACGAAATTATTATTAACAAACTATTATTATCATGTGTAAAACCAAATTGCCTTAGTGATAAAGTTCCTGCAATCCAGACACTGTTTGGAAAACCACTTTTAATATGCAATAATTGTGCTGGCAGCATAATGAGAGAAGAATGTCTTCAAAAACTATACTCTTTGTAATGTTTGTTGCAGTGGATTGAACAATTTGCTCTTGAAATGGCTATGTGTGAAATAACTTTTCATTGTTACACACTAACAAACATAGCTCCACTTTATATGTACATGTGTTAATTTATGTGTTCTCAACTCAGCACCCTCTTGTGCATTTAATTTTCTAACCCATTCACTATATGATGTTAAAGTTGTCACAGTACCAGTGTTCACATATGTAATGCACATACATGTACATGTTACATATACTGTTAAAGTTCTTGTAGTAACTCATTTACATGCATACTTCAATTAAATACATGTATCTCACATTAATCTGAGATAGTATAATTGACTAGAATTCTATTATGCATTTGTATTCAATTTTAACTACCATATTTGTTCTATAGAGACGAATAAATAAAAACCAAATTTATTGTATGCTGGATTATTGAAATGTGATTTATTTGTGTCTATACATAATCATTTACATATTAAAGTGCATGTGCTACAGATAGAATAGAACAGTTATTTGCTCATGTATCATAGAAAATGACTGTTTGTTTTCACACAGCTTATATGCAGTTTATTTTGATGATAAGACACTGAATATCATTCATACAATTCATTTTAGGCATCTATCTTACTGGTTTGCTTCACATGTCTCAAGATGATAAGAACTGGTTTGATCAAATCATCATTACCAATTGCAAATTTTTTTTACCAATACTAGCATTATGTTAGTACATATGTTGGATATGTTTTTTCAGACTGGTTGAAATAAACTGAAAAAAAATTGCATTTTTCATAATGTCCTTCAGTATTAGTTTGACATCTCCTGTTGATAATGATTTATAACTTTATCATATCCCAACTACTACTGCAAAATCTGTGTTCGAAGCTGCAGTTTATAAAAAAAAATGGTACAAAGCAATAGAGGGGGTATGGCTTCTACACATAATGACGAATGATGAATTTTTTTATCCTCATTTGTTCAAAGAGTATGAGTGTGACTTCTATTAGGAATGTGGCTTCTAATACAGATTTTACGGTACTGGGGAGAGATGTTATTAGCTGGCAATGTTTTCTGTTTTGATGTCCATAATTTGGCGGTGAAACAGTAAATCAGAATTGGGTCAACCATTAACACACAGCTGTCACTACTGACATCAACTACAGTACATCAAAATATAATTTCAGACTTTGAACAATATCTTTTATTGAGTATTTTGTATACTATGCTTGTAGCGGTGTCTTATCATCCTTAGGTTTTAGCTCAACATAATTATTAATGTCTACATATCATTGATTGTTTTGTTATTTGAACTCATGGCACAAACTAAACTGTACAAGCTAGTTATAATTGCTGTGCACAATATAACAATAATTACAATGCTGACTAAATATTTATTATTCTTCTTATGTTCTGCTTCTTTTTTTCTAAACTTTACACTGGCACTCTGGCAACTTTAATGCATTTATCAGGACGTAAGTTACCTACCCACCTAGATATGGCATCTGTGTAGCAATGCTGCATGTGGTTCTGCATGTATTTTTCATTAATTATAATTTATAAAGGAAAGTGTAGTCAAATTTGAATCAGTAGCTTATACACATGGTGATATGCTGCCTTTTTAGCTGATGACAAAACTGTATAATGAGAAACAAGTTCAGTGTCAACAACTTTTGGAAGATTGAGGAGAATATGATATAAAACAATTTATCAGCTGATTGTAGCTCATTATTATCAAAATGAAAATCAAAAAGTATATTTAAACTTTTCAATAAGGGTTATCTCCTCAACAAAATTTGTTTGGGTTTATGTTGAAGAACCTTGCTTTGTAGCGATCGGCTTACAAACCTAACAATCGGCTACCACAGTTTGTTATAGTTATTCTACATGTATACTAATTATCTTGTGTTACTTTTTTACTCTCTACTAAGGTGTTTATTGTTCTTCTAATGTGGTGTATAAAAAATAACGTGTGATTGAGTTTTCTACAGTGCATTAATCTTTTAATCTCTGACTGTATTACATGTCTACTTGCTTCAGAGTAGTATTCTGCTGTTGTGGATTGTTTACTTACCGACGAAATGCTGCCATCGGTTGTATCCGATGATATCTGCATAAATATCATATGCTGCAATAAATAAAATTCTATTCTATGTTAAAATGCCGAAGTTTTCGTGCTTGTCTGATACGAGTCAAAATATATAGAATGCATTAGTTACATACAAATTTGAATGTGCTGCATGACAACCGAGACGTTTTGATATATTCCATCAAATCAATAATTATGTACAACACACGCCAAATTAGCATTGGTCTGTTAATGTGTAAGCACTACTAGTTTTATACAAATATGCCAAATTAGAACTCTATGCTAATTCATAACTTTTTAAATATACTATTGCATATAGATTCAGATGCTCACAGATTGATTGCAGTTGCCATCTAATACGGCTCTACTATACTCTGTTCCTATTCTTAGCAACACTATATGCCAAGGAGCAATATTAATTGATAAAGTGTGGCCCTCTACTATATAAAAAAAAACTTTCCCGAGCTTGAAAACATGTAATTCTTACTGATGACAAAATTTAAATTATTTCCATGCCCTGATTTTATGCATCTATAGATGCTATTAGACACAACAATTGATGCCAGTAATGTCTAAAACTTTGTATTTAGATTTGATTTGATAATTTTATGGAAACATTTTTGCGCGAGTAATCTATACTACGTGATAAGTATATCTGTAGAAATTTTCACTGCTCTAAAATTTTGTGATTTTCATTGTCTCACGAAATTCATCATGATTTTTCTTGAGAAATTACAGCGATTTACAGTATAAAACACTAGAATTATCATTGTTTTAACCTCGAACAATATTTAGACAAGAACTTAAATAAACTGAATGTATTTCTAAACAGCCCTTCACTTTATTTCACAGGAGGTAGATATAAAAACTGGAAAAGAAGGTGGTTTATTCTGACAGATAACTGTCTTTATTATTTTGAATATACAACAGTAAGTATTTTTATTACACAATTTAACTCTTATTCTCATTTCTAAGATATTTTTTTAAGATATATTTTCAATTTTAGCCACTTACAAATAAGATGTGATTTGTTAATAGGATAAGGAACCCAGAGGCATCATTCCATTAGAAAATCTCAATGTCAAAGATAATGATATCAAAGAAAGTAAAAAACCAGTAAGTGAACTTTCTAACTATCAGTCCTAATGGTGATCTGTACACTTTGTAGTATTGGCACAAGAACCACCATTACAATACCTCTAGGGGTTGTTGTAAACGTTTTGTCTGATTTCACTAAATCGGAACTCTTGATAAGTCAAATTATTGTAGGTTACCTGTAGCCCAGTTATTCATGGGTATTTTATTGAATTTTCATGTGGTACAGAGTACTTATTTTATTTTTGGCAAAATCAAAGATGGCCAAATAAAGTTTCATTATTATAAACATTAATTTTTCATTTGGTTTTAATTTCTCTATAACTTAAATCCGCTAAATTAAATCCATGCAAAATTAGAATGGAAGTCATTGTTTCGCTGGAAAACATGTGAATTTAAAAATATATAAGGAAACTACATTGCAGTGAAAATTAATGCTTTTACAATACAATCTTATCGGTACATCACAAGCAACTTTAAGACCACCAGAAATTTTGTTGGCCTGAATTTAAAATAAAATAAACCTTGTTTGCTTTAACGGAATAGTATTTTAGGATTAATGAAACTGGAAGTTTAATTGGTTTCCAGGAAATTTCACTGTAATCTCATTGTAGTGACCTTTCTGATATAAAAAATACAACTGCATTAAATTTACAGTTCTGTATATTGCTTTAATTTTGTGAGAGACAAATTGACATGAATCCTTGTAAATCATGAGATTTTTTAGCAGTGAAAATTTCTCTGGGGTTTAGCGACACGAAATGTCACTTGCAAACAATTTTCCAAACGAATGCTAGAGAATCAGGAAATCTTTGACATATTAAGTCTTTTACGTCCTTATTAAAGTCAAAGAAACAAGCCTACATGTATTTGTTCTTTCAGTTTTGTTTTGAGCTGTTCTCATCAGATGGAAACAGTGTTATCAAAGCTTGTAAAACAGATGCTGAAGGAAAAGTTGTAGAAGGTGAGTCACATAGAATGAAATATTGAAATAAGGCATGTGTCTTCCTAATTATCATTCTTACTACATACTATGGAATGCAATGCAGCTGTCACATCTGATGATGTTTGTCAATTCAGCTGAACCCATTTTAATTATCCATTTTGTTTGTAGGACGCCATCAAATTTATAGAATGTCTGCGGCCTCCGCGGATGAGAGGGATGATTGGACCAAGAGTATCAGGTAAATGAACTGTATTTGTAGTTGTGCCTTTTTGTCGGTTTAATTTTACAAGTTTTGAGTTGCATAAGAAACAGTTGGATGTAGTGATTCATTGAGATTAGTTGTACAAGATTGCTTGGATACTAATAGTACTGAATTTGTTCATAGTTAGAGATGGACTATTAGAAATTTTGGGGGATGATGGTAGATAAACTCTGCAAAATATTTTTTTCCTCTTCAATGATGACCTCGCTGTAATATGTGTGTGTTATGTTATATTATAAGAAATAGGTTTGTAATTTTAATTCTGCCACCTTGTATTTCTAATGGGCCACCTCTTGGTTGCTATAGAAACAACTGAACAAGTTGATCACCAAATTTACCCACATTACTTTTTTGAATGCTGAAATTTGCACAAGCCAAGTGACTTATTTGGTGCCTATCTAACTATAAATATTTAGGGTCTACACCAATTCAACACAAGTTGTTTTAATATAATACACGTTTTTATTTTCAGAGCCAGTATCAGTCAAGATCCATTCTACAACATGTTGGTAGCAAGAAAGAAAAAAGCAACTCATAAAGTGTAACATGTTTTCAACATTTAGATCATAACAATTATGTAAGGTTTTATTATAAAGTCTATATTCAGTCAAAACAACCATATTATTATATTAAACAAAGACTATAATTCTTCTGAACTGGAATGAAAACAAACTGAAACATACATTCAGTGTCATTGAAAGCATTTGAAATCTCAACACAACTATGTGTGCATTTTGTTGCAAAAGAGGTTAACAATTTTATTAGATTCTGCTCAATATAACTGATAACATGTAGACAGTATGACATTGAGAATGACATTTTCCTCAGATCCCCTTGATGTGTAATATATATGTGTGGTCACAAAAATATTTTCAGTACATGGTTCGTGGAGCATGACAACATATACAAATCATGACATTAGATTTATCATTAAAATTCATACTATGCGTTTTACTGGATATAAATAAAATTATCTTAGGAATTTTACCATGTAACCCAATATTGAAAGGTAAATAAAATGATTAAAAATCAACTTGTTACTTCACTAGTACAGATAAAATACGACTCTCACAATCTGCTCTTATACATGCTGCAAGTATTTAATCAGCGTTTCAAATCTTAACATTTTGAAACGTCTATGCTGGAAAGTCTTTTTGTTAAACTGGTGACTTATTCAATCTTTCCTTTATTTTTAAATTAAGATATTTTTTAAAACCTGTTAATACAAATTAGCATGACATTGTTGGTGATTGATATTATGGTGTCCCCAACAGACTTCTTTGCATCAAAGTTAATCTGTCAGCAAAGGTTCAATGCTAATGTGTCACGAACCATGTCAGACAACATATTAATGTGTTACATACTAATGTGTAACTTAACTAAATTGTTAACCGCTTGTATCTAGTCATTGTTATACCAAGAGACAAGTTTGTTTGCAATCAGGCTACTATACTGCTTTCATATCCATAGTTATATATTGTTTTCATATCTATGTTCTTATCATTGTCAAGTCAATTTCTTTTGATATTGAACATACAATAAAATTCTGGGCTGGTTCCTGGAGCCTTATATATTTTTTTCACTCTTTAAAATAAACTTTTATGTTTTATTATTATATTAATTAATTATCAACTACAATAGTATCTATTTATAGGTGTATTCATAGGTGGTGCCAAACAGGAAAGTGTCTTCGAAAATGGCATATCATCAAATCGCAGTACTGAATTGAGGTCTATTTATAGTGACGCTACAGGATGAAAACAGACTGTTTATTTCCTGAAACAATAGTAGTTTTTGGTAGTTCATGAAACTTATCATTGTGTATTGTTTTTGATATAGGGTTGTACAACGTATACAGTGCATGGTAAATGTATTTATATACTGTAAAATGACTAATTTTCACTGGGTTTAAATTTCACTGATTTACCATTTCATGCATATTCAGTGGGTTTTAAATTCATGGTTTTATTATTTAGATAATGTGTTCTATGCTAAATTTTACATATTCACTGGGTTTTACTTTAGCGCATTTTCCAGACAGCGAAATAAGCAAAATTACAACCCAGTGAATAATTAACCCTTTTACAGTACATAAAATTTACTTGCGCTGCCTAATGAATGTAGTGCTTTCAGGAAGTCAAATATTCAGTGATCTCTACACGATAAAGCCATAGAACATTTGTATATACAGTGTATGATGTACACAATATGTGCAGATAAAACATTGCCAGTATTAACTTACAAATACAAAATATTTTAATTTGATTTTCTCAAATTGCACTTAAACAATGTTTATTTTGCCAGAACACACTAGTTGTGCTTTTTCGTGTTGAGGATGCGTCTAACTAGTGTAGAATTTGGTTAGCTAAAATGGGAAAAATATGTCAGCAAGATGGTGGTAAAGCACTACAAATTCTTTGTCCATGGAAACAATTCCTATAGGGATTCCCTCTCGACTTAACTTTGGTGGTCATTTTGGATTGCAACATGCATACAATTGAGTTTCATAATTAAAAAACAATCAGGAAATCCTATACTGCATTTCACTTAAATTTGTATTGTTAGTAAACTTTTTTTTTAAAGCCTTTGACATTTTGAGTAATATGTGTAAATAAATGCCCTAACTATCCTATTTACTGTGTGCTATAAACCAAACAACATCAAGCAGTACCATAGCCCTGGTTGTGATAGTTTTTAGCATCTTTGGGTGTCGTCAAGTCACTGAGTTGCTTGTGAGATTCTCGGTTCAACAATCAAAGATGGACTATATTACAAAATTAATATTCAATGAATAGTAATTTTCATTAAAATTAGTCCAATACACGCACCAGAATCACTAACTCCTAAACATTCTAACTTTCTGATTTGATTTTTGGTCAAATTATTCAAAATTGAAAGGGCTTTCAACTAAATTTTGCTGACAATACATTTTACTGTGGTTACGAATTTGTTTCGTCCACCTAACCAGGAATGTTGGCAGCTAATTACCGGTAGCTGACACTGCAGCTGTGTTGCAAGTAACATTGTCTGCAAATATACTTTGTTCCTGTATTATCAGCCAATTAGCTGGCGATATTGCTGGTTAGGTTTATACAACAAATTTGCAGCCACCAGATAAATGTTCAGACCCTTGATGCGTTTGAAGTGATGTGCTTGAAATGAATATGTAAATTTTCATATTTGTAGTAAATATGAATAAATCTTTATTAAATCAGCTCACGCATGTCTTGTTTGTAACTTATCCAACTAGTTTCAAGTTGTTGAACGAGTGTAAAATTTGATCATGCCGCAGTGGCCATTTATCAGGACAGCCATATTGAATGTAGACCTAAATCATTTGATTTTCACAATTTATATTAGGTTCATGTATTTTCAGCAACAATATATGCTTATGATATTTATAAAGTCACATTCAGTAATCCTGTGAGTTTTTTGTAAGTTTTTGACTGCCACTTCTAACTGATATTTGCATCGTCCAAATCTGATTTTTCCTCACTCTCGGCTACACACTGAATTTGGGTGTTTGAAAATTCGCTTAGAACCCCTTCCCTATTAAGTTGCATAATTTGTTAAAGGGGAACTGCTCTTTCCTATGGATTGCACCAAAGAATCATGGGACACTATTGTTTATGTTGTTTACAATGTTAATCTATCTTTTGTTATCCATTGTTATTTTAATCCAGCAAGTAAATTTGTTGTGAGATTAGGCTTAACTGAAAGGTGCCCCTTTAATTATCCATGGTATATATTATTAGTATAATTTGTATATATAATATTCAATATCGGCACTACTGATTAAAATGTTCAAAAAAAAAAAAATGCAGGCTGATATCCAATAACTCATAATTATAAAAATTTTAAAATACAGTAAATTGCATGAAAGCATGAATGTTTTTATGGAAATTTATAAAACTTTAATCTCGATACTCCCACACACTTAATTAAAATCCAAAGAAAACTGTTTCATTTGTTAATGTCCATTACCCATGAGTCTTTGCAGGTTTACTGCAATCATTGGCATATTTTCTACCAAGCAGAAAAATGATACTATATCAGGATGGTGAGCCTTTGCTAAGATATCATAATTAGCCAATTACATATTTTCAAGTTTATAAATATTTTACATAAAAAAAAACATTTATGCCTTCATGGAATTCACTGCAGTTTAAATAATTAGGAAGTAAGACCATATACTTAACATATAAATAGAAATATAACTGGGTAAATAACCCAGAATGCCGATTTCACTGGAATAAAAGTTTTGAAGATAACGTATATGGTCCCTTAACATCTCCCGAAACAGTTACATTGGGTCATTCGGGTCTCATTGTTTCTGGCTATCCGTATCCCATTTCTTCCACGTGTAAGGACGCGTATAATTGTGTATATCTGCGTTTTACACTCGTCTAGTATGATAATGGAATGATCTAAGCAATGCATGTGCCATTGCAATGACGCTAGTCGAGATAGGAAAAAACAAAGACTGACTGAATAATTCTCAGCATGCTGGGAAGTTTCATAATTTTAGCTCATAAATTGTGTAAAATTGCATGCTGGGAAGTTTCATAACTTTGGCTCATACTTGTGTAAAAGTTTAGACACAAACACCGTTTACCTGACTTGATTCAGACAGGTTAACAATAAAACAATAGTTTACTACAGGACATAGGTTGTGAAATGGCACTTGCATCAAACGGTAGCGCTTATAGAGACTGCAGAGGATTGTTTACATTTTCAAATTGGAGCAGATAAATCGAAAGCTGATTGGTCTAACATCGAATAATGAGCCGTGATTGGCTAATCATTCCATCGCACCAAATATTGTGATTGCATTCACGTACGCTGATCTTATGCTGAAGCTAGAAATTGGAACGCGGGCGCTTTAGAATCAGTTGATTACGAGTACATTTTGAGAAAGGTACGAATATTATTCATAATGATTTCTTAAAATAAATACATTATCTTTCAATTTTCGACTACCTTAGGTATGATATTTATTGAATATGATATTTATAGAATATTCTTCTACCAATACCGGTCAAAAACGTATGAATACGGTTTTAAACAGGCTGCTAGGTGTCACAAATATCCATTTATACTCATTATTGTGTCGGTTGTGGTCGTGTTCTCCAAAACGTCACTTCCTGGCTGGTTAATATGGTCTTTGTAGCTCGTGACACAGGAATCTGACCCCCCCCCCCCAAAGAATATGGACACTATCAGACACGTTTAAGGTAGAAGCCAACTCACAAGTAAAAGGTTTCAATTTAAATATTTTTTGTGAAACACAAGAAAATAAAGCATCCTTCTCTGGAGTGATAGCTAATGCAGTTTTCAAGATGTGAGCATTTCAATAATGATTTCAATATTTCACCTACTAATAGATAATTAAATGTTTAATAAATAACACGGTCTTCATTTGACCAATGTGAACCCTTTACCATTCCTAAGATATTAAGATCCCATAATATTCCAAGAAACCTTTCTAACACATTTACTTACTTTCAATCTTCATACACATTAACATGATAAAATGACTTTAAATTTTTATTTCATTTTTACACTGGAGTAAATAGTCAGATGCATGGTAAAACTAACAATAAGGGCTCAACATTTCATCAAATTTCTTAAAATTCCATTGTTATTCCATTGTTATAAGCTATATGCAGGTACTCACTAAAACGAAGGACCGCGAAGAACCGAAGGACCTAACCGAAAGACTGAAGGACTTAAACGGTTGTAATGACTATAAAACGCTGATGCGAA